ACGCTCTCTAAGCTGTCGCAGGCATGCGGCTAACTGTCCCTCATGCAAGCGAGCATTATCTCCTTCTCAATTCGGCGTGTTCTACTTCCGCCTACCTTCACCAATGCTAGCATTCTGAACACGGACACTGCCAGTCGTTATCATTTGCCCTCTCTCCAGGCCTCCCTTCCTCCAGTAGCCGCCAAGATCATCTCTCGGCACTCCTTGGCGACACGGAAGATGGAACTTGATGGAAGTATCCCTTTCATCCCTTTCTTTGCTTGATATCTCCTCGAGATTGCCAAGCCGCAGGGGAAGATGCTTCAGAAAAAACCATCCGGTTGCCCAGAGCTGTTTGTCAGATCTGCGGTTTCGCTGCTATTTCCCTCAGCGCTTCTCAGTACTAGAACACACTGCGTGTGGAATGACCATGTCCACCCGGCCAGTTCAAAGCTTTTGGCATCCTGAAGTATCCCAAACTCAGAACTATAACGAAAGAGCCCCCACAAGCACATACACATCGCTTTGCTTCAAGCTTTGCGCGAAGGACCGCAACCATCCAGCGGGATTCACCGTCATCGTTGCCACACTCCACGCAAGGCATGTGCTGCTGTAGCTTAACTGAGTTCAATTCACTGAATTGGCTGGCTCATTCATGAATACGTCTACTAGCTATGTCTGAAGCAAAATTAATACCTACCGTGTTCTGTCATGACTTTCCAAATCAGATGCGGACCTCCGCATTTTCGGAGCAAGACTTGTTTATGTTGTACTCAAGAATAGTTGGTTATTGGCTTCATAAAACTTTATTCTGACGTAGCCCGCTGCTGCACCCGGGTACGCTTGCCAAGCGCACACGCGCGGTACTTGTACGTACTTGTGGAGTGTGCCAGCAGCAGGTTCTGCCCAGCTCCGTCGGCGAGCTGCGTTTGGGGTCGCCGGCACTCTTTGCGGTCTGTGCTTGCAATGGACCCCCTAGCCTGTCATCCTGTACCGCAAGGTTTCCATGCCCCGCCCGACTCGGGAAACCCTTCGCACACCAATGGCGAGAACCTCCCCACAAAGTTTTGCGCGGCCGGCTGAGTCGACACGTGCGTACATGCAAACAATCACTTTTCAGTTCATGGGCAGGTCGAGGGAAGCTGTACTGACAGGAGCTTGCTGAAAGCCGGATCAGGCAGAAGAAAGACACATGTCGCACGGCCAGCAGCGCAACGGGACACGTGTAAACCCGGTCTCACAAAGTGGACGCATAAGCTACTATGTCATGTACAGTCTTCAGTACAATTTGATAAGGTCGAAGATTCGGAATAGTCAATCAGTCACATATACATATATATATTATAATATATATATATGTATTTTTGGTTAAGCCATCCCGAGCCTTCATGATACCTAAGTCCTAGCCTAGCTCCCCTCCCCCCCCCCCCCCCCAAAAAAAAAAAAAAAAACACACACAAAAAAGAAAACCCAAAAAAACAAGACTCCCCCCCCCCCCCCCCCCCCAAAGCATTCTGGGCTCCAGCTCGCTGATGTCCTCGCCCATCTCTGCGAAGATCTGTGCCAGTCCTTTCTGGTTGATCACCTCCGGATTTCATGCGGTTTAGGGTTTAGGGTTTAGGGCCTCGAACAGCAATTGCCTGGAAGGCTTCTGGCCAGTGCTGGTGGTGAACTAGTTGGTACACCCAGTGTGAGGAGTGTCGCTGGTGGTGCAGGGAAGTGCACATAGTGCACGGAAAGGAGAGTATCGAAGGTGATCACCGCAAACCCCGGAGACTGCGCTCTTTCTACGTGCGCAGCATAGTACTGTACGAGACGATGGATTCGGCCAGAATAGCGTAATAATACGGAGATGAGGGATCGAACTACATGAGATGACATGAAAACATGGGGTGCGTCGTGTCAACATATCACAACTGCAGACCTGCAACCGCGACCGAAACCCTTGCCACAACGTGTTGAAGTCCTGGGTCGACAACTCGGAGCCAAACTGAACGCCGACCGACTCGCCTCCAGAGCCTCATGGGGCTCCAGCTCAAGCACGTCGGGATTGAAGAATGCAAAGGCCTCCTTGAGCTCCTGTCCCAGCATGTGAGCTCGTGGCCTTGTACATGCAAAGTATACATATATATATATATGTATATATATATATGTGTGTGTGTAATTCATAACCAGCTGACTCTGTGAGCAGTTGGGGATTCGTTTCATTTCAGTGTCGGCTCAGGAGCTGTGCTCGGACGTTGGGAGGGCTTGAAAAAATGGTGGGAAGTTTGACCAGACAAGGCATCTCCTGCTCCAGGGTGATAGGCTGGGAGATGCCTTCCAGAAATTGCACGAGCTCGTGGAACTGCACGCTGCCGTCGTTATTGTAGTCCATCCGCACGAAGAACATATCTAGCTCCTGGCTGGTCAGGTTCAGGCCGAGAGCTCTCATCATCGGCACGAACTCTGACTTGTCGATCTTGTCGTCGTTGTTCTTGTCGAAGATCTGGAACAGCTCTCGACATTCGGCAACTTGTTCCGGTGTGAAGCTGGCCTTGTTTTTGGTGCTGAAAAGCCCCTGCGCACTCTGACGGCGCTCCGACCTGCCAGGATCTATGGCCAGTTTGTTGTGCCTTCTGCTTAGAGTGAAGCCCGGCGCAGTGGGACCGTCCATGGCAACCGCAGGCGCGGACCCCGGTGACAGGATTTGAGCCGCACGCTGCAGGGCAAGGCCGAAGGAAGGCAGCTGGTCTCACAATGAACTACTTTCGGCAAGCCGCCTCAGAAAACAGGTGCTTGTGCTCAGACTGTGCAAAGAGACCTTTAAGAAAACACACCGGCGAGTGGACAGGGCCAAAGTCAACGCGCTCCAAATTCAACCACTCAGGGTTTCCATGGGACGCCATGGTTCCCCTACCCGATCATTCCGATGCCCATGCCAGGGGTCTTGCATCCGCCCAGCCTCTCGTTGTTTCGCACCTCAGAAAGCTCGCAGACACTGCCAGCGAGGTAGACCTCGCAATGAGGAGCGAATGCTTCTCAAAGTTTGCGGCTCCCATCTCAAGGCGGAAAGAAGATCATCACGAGACCCCCGCATCACAACAGCTTCTAAAACACTCTACGTTCCAACACGGCAGCCTTGAGCCCACAAATGAAATCGAGGTCTTGAATGTAAGAACATGTTCATCGCTCGTGATTTCTGTTCGCCGTTGTTGTCATTACTATCGCGGCTTGCCGGAAATGGTGCCATCACATGTGTCACAACATGTTAAACACAAAACCAGGTGGGACTACTTCCAGTGTTCGGCGATGATCGGAGTACCCACAAGGCACCTTTGACTCAGGAGGAGTAGCAAGGAAGGATTGCGGTGTTGCTTCTAGTGCTCTCAGGGACTCGGGCCGGTGGCTTTTATAGGCCGTTGCTGTGTCCGAGCGAGTTGCAGCAACTGCCCAGTATAACTCATGTCCGAACCCCGATTTCGTTCGACGGCTCACCACACATTGAGAAGCGGCCTCGCCACGGCCAGAGACGTGAAACCTGGTCAGCCCCGCAAACCAAAGAAAGCAAAAATGGACTCTGCCCACATGTTTATTGTTTAACGATTCTTAGTCTTATACGATTTTGGCATTGTTCGTGTTATAATCGGCAACTTGGGCTGGAACTGCAGGTCCCGGAAAGCACTATGATTCTTGGCAAGCTTCCAAAGAGCTGGTTTGCTAAAACTATGTGACAATGTGGCACCGCCCCCACGTGAAGCACGGCCAACGCCGCCACAACCCACTCGCTCAAGCACACATGTTAGCTACAGAAACTACACCTGCAAACTGCTCTCGCTCCCTATTGAAAAAACACAAGCTCTTTTCCCCGCTGGGGGTATCGGTTGCGCGGTCTACGAAAGCTGCTTCGAGCAAGAAATGGCGAAGAAAGCCCATGCCTTCCATTTCCCACAGATAAGCCAGAGTCTACGAATCCAACTCCTCACGAAACAACTAGGAGGTGGGCTACACTAGGTCCCTAAACCCTGAACCCAACCCCTCTTGCACACAAAGCCAACACTCCGAAGTCCAGGCTCCGTGCTGGTGACCCAGAAGTGTGTTCAACTGTGTCTTGATGGCCTGCCCGTTGGACCCCTTTTCACACACAAAAGGTGCCTGTTCCACAAAGGCATTGCTGTGCAAGGAGGATCATTCCCGGTTGTGAATAATAACGGGATTGAAGGATCTTCGAACGAGCACCTGAGTCGCTCACCCCACATACAGTACTTGTAAGGCTCCACAACAAAAGCCTTCAGTATCCCGCAGCCCTCCGAAACCTGTCCAGGGAGTGCTTGGAGGTCCAACTGCCATAAAGCAATCCCTGAGAACTCACGTGTCCGACTCCTACCGCCTGAGACATACACCAAATACTCTAAAACTTATTCAAGATGCAGGGGTTAGATGCAGCACATGGATCGTGCGCCCGCGCATGTCCCGAAGAGCCCCCTGCTAAAGCGATACTAATCAACTCATCTGCTGGGAGCACGAACGATAGAACCTCCTCCTCCCTCCCCCCCCCACAAGTCGTCCTGAGAGACTCTCTGGTTTCCAGACATAGAGTTCACCTCCGTGCATGCCACTCATGACTGTGTTCTTAGATGCTCCTACCCCCTGGAAAACACTTGAGATGTAGGCAGATTCCCGAGGCATATGGAAACATGACCCTACAGGCGGATATGATTGGTGCTGCAGTCAGGAAGCATCAAGAAGCCATGAACCAAGCCACCCGCTGAAAGCTCAACAAACTTCACGCAGCCAAGTTGCAAAAGCCAGGATGTACGGTGGTGATTCGCCACCGTGATTCTGAAGACAGCAAGCTGTAGAGAAAAAGAGAGACTGAGCTGCACCGAGACTGGCGACGTGCTGCCAGCATTCATGTGGCCTCATGGTTTTCGCCTGCTCCGCTGGAACGACTGGTTGCTAGTTATCACTTGAGTCATCCAAAAACTACAATAATACTACATAGCCTAGACGTCTGTTCAAGGTGCCAAGACCAGCAAGACTTGCCTCTCGCCACCTGTCCAGCGATTGTCTTACCTTGTCGGCTTGCGGAGGGCGAGGGTCAAGGAGCACGAAGTGAGGCATTAAGTGTACGGGCATTGGCGACACCCTGTCGGCGCCAAAAAAGAAGTTCCTCCCTGCACCTCTTTCATGTCCGATCGGTCTTAGTTCTGAAAATCTGCTACGATTCTAGATTCTAAAGGTAGCGAAAGCGAAGAAAACCCCAGTAAAACCCCTGGCATCCTGCTCCTGGGCTCCTGGCAGGCTGGATCTGCTCCGGGCGGGCTTGCCGTAGACCCCAGAACCTGAAATGTTCCGTGGCATCCCCTCGGAAGGCATGGGATGCAAGTAGGGTAGGTTAGGTAAGCGTGTATGGGTTCAAATGTATGTATATACATGCCTACATGGGCAGACACGTATGACGAGTTTTCTCTCTTTCTTGGGCTGGTTTCTTGCAAAGAGAAGGCCTTGGCAGACAAAAATGCGCTACAAGAATCTGTGGCACCTCTTACAAAGTAGACAGGCATAAGGGTGTAACTCTGCAGTACCCAGGGGAATGAATCATGCCATGGATGCGGAACCTGGCATTTGATTTAAGATCAGAATAAACTCTCCAAGGAATATGGGCCTCTCGCATCCAAGCAAGAGGCCGCACAAAGTAGACCGTATGCGTGTGTCTGCAAGGAACATGCGTTCACAACGATCTGCAGGGTGTTTTGTACAGATTGGATGATCTCGCGATTAACTGTGAAGGCATTTGACCCCCCGAAACTGGCCCGTGTAGATCTGAAGCCCTCCAGCTTGATCAAGACACATAGTGGCAACAACAGATAATGTATACGAACATATGTAAGATCAAATGCTGGCTCGTTAGCTTACGATTATGATGCCTGTTGCAAAAGGACCCTGCGAGCATGCCTGAGCTGACCTCGTTCGATTCGGCCATGGTATCGCTCGAGCATTGGGTCCTGTCAAGACCGGGCATGTACCACTCAGACGAAAGCCCTTGAATTGGCAAAGTCTCCTCGTCTGCAGCGGCGTGCCGGCCATACTCGTGGAAGCTGAAGTTTTGCCTGGGCGTCCAATCTTGCAGGGGCCGTCTTCGAGTACTTCAGGGCAACCCAGGTACAGATCTGTCTAACACCTCATGTGCCAGCATGCCTAACGCATACCTCCTGCGTCCGAACACAGGGCTTGCAAAAAAGTGTCATTGCAATCCCCTTCTCAGAACCACGCGCTGGCACTTCCACCAGCGGCTGTGAGGACCTGCAGTCTGTGCAGCATTGCGCATGCCGCAACATTGCAGCTGTGCAGGCTGTGGTGCTGAGCCCGCGCATGGAAAGCAAGGTTGACAGCAACAAAGGGCGTTTGTAAATTCGCGGTGTGACAGCAAAACAGGTGAGTCCAAAATCTGCACACCTTTCTCACACACACACCATTCTAATGGCATATCTAGCATACTTTTTGATAGTATCACGTGGGATACACTGTTCGATAAACACGTGGGCCCATCGGACCGAATCACTCGCAAGACAGGAATGTTTCCACTTGCTTCTGCGCAAATACTGGATTCGTCAGTCCCTGCAAGCAGAATGGGCACACGCAACAGCGCCGACCAGAACCCAGACTCAGGGACGGGCGTTGGTGCAAAGCTACGGGCCATTCTCGTATCCATGGCCGACATTGGACGAATTATCGGTTCAAGTGCGGTTTTGACCTAGGCTGAACCCGGAAGTGCCGTTTCTCAGTATTAAAGCTCAGTGGTTCTGGGGGTCCGGCCAAAACGGCAGTGCGGGGGGTTATACATTCTTCGATTTCGAACCTGCCCTGCAGTGACTGCACGAAATCCTCGGGACCAAAAGTGGATGAGGGAATGGTCTCTGACTCTGGGGTTCATGTGTCTGTCAACATGCTGGTTGTGCAGGATGCTGTCGAGTAGGCGCATGGGAAAAGAACAAGGGTTTTCGACCATGAAGCTGCCATCGAGCCGCCTAGCAGGCTGTCGTCCTTCGCTTCGCCGAATCTGAGCTCTGTATCGGGTAAGCCGTCTACGGGGTTTGGATCGCGGTATTGTGAATAGTAGTACGATGAATACACGACGAAGGCGTTCACAACCTCCCGCAAAGCAAGCGAGCACTTGCAAGCGCCATCTGTTTCCGATGCCGATAAAGGGCCGCAAATCATGTATGGAAGGAGCTTACCGTGTGACCCCTGTCGTCCTTGAAGGCTTCCTTACTTCTCTGAAGATTTTCCTCGCAGCTGTCTTTTGTTACATGAGCATTCTTACGACAATCAAGAAGGGCATCAAGATGTGCATAGAAGGATCTTTGCCGAACGAGGCCTGTCGTCCTTTCGTAGGCTTCTTACCCAGTTAGGCTTTGAAACGCTGGGTGAACGAGTGGGGCAAGCTGGGGTCCGATAGGTTAGCCGGTAGGATGCCATGGGCCCCCGGGTTCACGGGCCCGGAACTCGCACGGACCTAGGCCGCATGCTCCTACCAAAGGCACTGACAAAGACCCCCGCCCCCCTAATTAAACCCAACCCCAAGCCCTATATAACCTAAGCCCAACCTGAAACAAAAAATGTACAATCTGCGCTTCCCGGGATACCGTTTCACTGAGGTACCCTAGTGCGGGCGGGCTTCTTAACATTCTGTTTAGCTCAATGGCAGCGGCGACTCTCCAAATGCCATAGTCATGGGCTCGAATTTCCCGTGGCTTGCTCACGGCGATAAAGCCATGTTTTTGTCGTCGGCTGCGATCATCCCTTGACCCAACCCTCTGAACCGTTTTCGTATACAGCGCTTTTTTGACTGCAGAAAAAAGTTGTTTTAGGGACCGCTAAGCCCCAAAATCCTGTATGGTGTTGCTTCCTAGCACCTTTGTAGAGCATCCTTCACGCTTGCTGCTTCGAACCTTATAACTTTCTGCAAGCTCATGGTCGCCGGCAAAGCAAGACGGCTTCCCATCCATTTTGCGCGCTATAGGACACCCCCGTGATCCAATGCTTCCTTGGCTCCGCCTGCGGAACCCTGCTTTGCAGTCGCGCGGCGTGCCATCTAAAAGTGGGGAGAGTCTATGGACCATGCCACCAGGAGCCCTCGAGTTGGTATCCCGCAGTTTCATAGGGCGCAAAGGTTTTTTGCAATCGGGTTTCGGGCTTCGGGAGCAGTTCTGAAAGTGCAAACTTAGGTCGTCTTCAGGAGCCCTCACCAAGATCAGCAAGTCCTGAGGAAGCATTGCCTGTATTGCAAATGATACAAAGGCAGGGCCCATTCACTCTTGTCGTGGTATGCCAGAAACACTTCAAGACGGAGCATCCGCTGCCTTACCCACAACTCACACTCCACTTGATTCCAGTACAGTAATTAGGAATTAGGAATTAGGAATTAGGAATTAGTACTTAGTAATGAGTGATTAGTAATTCGTAATTAGTAAGTAGAAAGTAGTAAGTAGTAAGTAGTAATTAGCAATTAGCACTTAGGAATTAGTAATTAGTAATTAGTAATTAGTAATTAGTAATTGGTAATTGGTAATTAGTAATTAGTAATTAGTAATTAGTAATTAGTAATTAGTAATTGGTCATTGGTAATTAGTAATTAGTAATTAGTAATTAGTAATTAGTTTACTGCCTCTGCTACAGCCTCCTTCCCCGAATCTGATCTTACGTCCCTCCAATGTGTGCTGTGTACGGGGCCCCTCCCAAGAACTCCAAAGATGCATGGAACCGGCCCCTCCACGCAGTGCAGCGCTCTTCGCTGCACGGTAACAGTGATACTTGCGGGGATCTCATAAGCATCACAAGCATTATCGGTGCGGCTAGCATAGAAGCATAGTGGCTTTAGCAACAGCAACAATGTCTGAACCCAATCTTAGCCATCTTGCGTCACGCAGGCACGGCCGCCTTTTGGATATGCGTGTTCGCACGTGGGCCATCATCGCATCGCCGCATCAGCCGGAGGGCGCCAAATCGCCGGCTGGCTGGCTGGACGATTGGAAGTGGCCCAACCCTCACTCTGCGACCTCGGCTAAGCTATTTCCGCACGCTCGCCCTGCAAGACTTCTGCCATTGCGCTTTGGCCACAGGATTGTATTCTGGACTAGGATCGAAACGTCGACAAATTGCGTAGCACACGCTTTGGATGCACTTCCCCCACTGGCTCTTGCTACAGTATGTCATGCTAGCGCGGCTGCCTCTACGCAACTGACTCAAAACTGGCAGCTGTGGGCAACACCTCGTCACTTCCCTCCTCAGCAAGCTCAAGGGCCAAAAGAAAATGCTGCTGTTCCATCCACGTCCACGCTACAGGACATTAGAGAAAGGCCTGTGAAACAGAACGTCCACCTGGCTTGTATTGTGCCTGGGCCTGACTTGAACCCAACGTCCCAAGTACACCTGACTTCAATAACAGATCAACTCGCCTCCAGTAAAGACTTGAATCCCGAGTTCTGGCCATAAAAAAAGTTGAAGCTTTTAAGCTTTTTTTTCAAAGGTTGCTACTGGGCATAATACAGCTGTCAGACTAGCAAGATAAAAACCCATGTTGCACATGCAGAGTTACTTGAAGCTGCAAAGAACCCTTTTTGCAAAGCAGCGGCTGGCAATTGTAAGCTTGCACGAAATAAGGAGTAACAGGTCTGACACAACACAGTGACATTGACGGTGAAACTTGGTCTGACTTAGGAACTTGCCTGGCAAAGCCTTGACGGGAATGTTGCCTAGCAGAATCTTATTGACTGTCGTACTGTTAGGAGCAGACAATCATCCGCGCTGCACTCACTCATCAGTGGCCTTGGAAACTGCAGCAAACTCAGGCAATGATGTGACTGTGACGTTCAAAAAACCAGGACAAGGGGGCCTTCCATGCCAGAAGATGCTGGGTACCGACTGAAGAAGTGTTCACTCGTCCAGTCTGACAGGCCACCTGCAGAAACCCAGCACGCGCATCAGCGCTTAGCCGTGCTGTCTGACGCCGGACCAAGGCGTGTTGGCCAAAATCTCGCAGGCCCTTCCCAGCAAAATCAGCCCCACACCCGGCCAACGGTGTAAGAACCGGCACTTTATACCTGGTCCGTGCTCGGTCCTTTGGTAGGGCGTCTGACTCAGATGCAAGAAGCAGTTCATCAATTGAAATTTGACTGAAAGGATAATTGAATTTTCATTGTCTGACACACGCAAACTGCAAATAGGCGGGAGTAACACATGTGTGAAGCAGCAGTCGAAGTAATGGCCTTCCACGCCAGAGGATACTGGGGATCGTCAACTGGATAGATGTTCGTCCAGTCTGACAGGCCACCTGTGGAAACCCAGCACGCGCATCAGCGCTTAGCCGTGCTGTCAAACGCCGGACCAGGGCGTGTTGGCCAATGTTTCCCCAGACCCTTCCCAGCACACTCAGCCCCACACCCGGCCAACGATGTGAGAACCGGCACTTATACTTGGTCTGTGCTCGGTCCTTTGGTCGGGCGTCTGACTCAGAACCCAGCGGGCGAGAAATCTGACACTGTGCCACAATCACGTCCGTTTACTTGTATTTAACCAAAGCTGGAAAATCAAGCTGTCAGATCACTCACACTCGCAAAATTTCAAAGAGACGGCAGTAACAGTAGTAACACGTGTCAAGCGGCCTTCCATGCCAGAGGATGCTGGGTACCGACTGAAGAAGTGTTCACTCGTTCAAGTCTGACAGGCCACCTGCGGAAACCCAGCACGCGCATCAGCGCTTAGCCGTGCTGTCTGACGCCGGACCAAGGCGTGTTGGCCAAAATCTCGCAGGCCCTTCCCAGCACACTCAGCCCCACACCCGGCCAACGGTGTAAGAACCGGCACTTTATACCTGGTCCGTGCTCGGTCCTTTGGTAGGGCGTCTGACTCAGACCAAAAGCGACTGGCAAGCCTTCTCGTCCAAAGATTTAAAATTTGAGTCATTATTAATCATCTGACAGCATTCGCACACAACAGGCAAAACCTTGAATTTGCAGTCTCGGAAAAGCTACGACGACTTGTCAGAGCTAACAGACACACAGCCAGCAACCCCCAGCCCAAAAGCAGTAAGTCTGTAGGCCTTCCATGCCAGACGGTGCCGGGTATCGACACAAAGAATGTTGCACTCATTTCTGTCTGACAAGCCCACTGCAGAAACCCAGCATGCGCATCAGCGCTTAGCCATGCTGTCAAACGCCGGACCAGGGCGTGTTGGCCAAAATTTCCGCAGACCTTTCCCAGCACACGCAGCCCCACACCCGGCCAACGATGTGAGAACCGGCGACTTATACTTGGTCCGTGCTCGGTCCTTTGGTAGGGCGTCTGACTCAGAAGCAAGCACCCGAGGAGTCTCAAACTGTAGCAAGAAGCAAGTCCGTTCACTTTTCACCAGTGAGACGCCTGAGATTGTGTCTCACACGCACAATGACAAAGCTGTAACAGGTGTCAAGCAGCAAATCAATGTCCAAGACTTACGACAGCCTTCCATGCCAGAGGATGCTGGGTACCGACTGAAGAAGTGTTCACTCGTTCAAGTCTGACAGGCCACCTGCAGAAACCCAGCACGCGCATCAGCGCTTAGCCGTGCTGTCTGACGCCGGACCAAGGCGTGTTGGCCAAAATCTCGCAGGCCCTTCCCAGCACACTCAGCCCCACACCCGGCCAACGGTGTAAGAACCGGCACTTTATACCTGGTCCGTGCTCGGTCCTTTGGTAGGGCGTCCGAATCACCAGAAGCGGCGGCTACATATACTGCGGACGCATTGCCATTGCTGGCCAGCATGTCTAAGAAATAATATGCTGGCAGGGACTCGCCATACGGGCAAGAAGCTTGACAGAACTATCACTTTCAGCACGCATATGGTTTATTTCAAGAACGCAGGCAAACCAATCAAACAGCATTGACAGACAGTACTAGACTCACTAGACAGGATCTGGCCTTCCATTCTTGAGCTGCTGGGTACTACCGCCAGGGCCAAATGAAGACTTGGACATGCAGAACGCTGCACTCATTCATGTCTGACCTGCGGAAACCCAGCACGCGCATCAGTGCTTAGCCGTGCTGTCTGACGCCGTGTTGGCCGAAGTTTCCCCAGGCCCTTCCCAGCACCCTCAGCCCCACTCCTGCCCAACGATGTAGGAACCGGCGTTTTCATAAAGGTGGTCCGTGCTCGGTCTGTTGGTAGGGCATCTGGGAAAAGTCTTACTGAGCAGTTGTGTGCATACTGTGTCACTCAGCACGACAAAATCAGAAATCAAAAATTAATTTGGCACTCACTCATTAACCTGTGTCAAGCAGCAGACTTATGGCCCTGGCCTTGCGAGGATGCCGAGGACTCGACATGTTCACTTGTCTGACAGGCCACCTGAAGAAACCCAGCACACACATCAATGTTTAGCAGTGCTTTCAGACGCCAGTCTACGACATGTTCCCCCGAGAAATCTGAGACTGGCCATGGGGTGGGTGAGTGTGAGGAGTCGTGCAGGGAAATGAGGGTGTACGTCAGGGTAACGACAGTTGGTGAGTTTGTTCATCAAAACTGCACACAGTACATTGGATTGATACCACATATCATGACCATGATACGTTTCCCAAGTTTGACAGGCGGCTTGTCAGAAAGATGCACATGCACTGAAGGGCTGGTTTTGCCTAAGCTGCTCCCTTCAGGGTTTTGGGGGGAAGGTGTTTTGATTTGTGTCATTGCCTCTGACTGTCCCTCTAAATGCTCCAGTTTCTCTGACTCACAGCCACTGCCACTCGCTGTCACCGACTCCATCCAGTCGGCCGAGTCGGGCCTTTGCCAGCAGCGTTTTTAAAACGCTGCCAGAATTCTGCGCACACACACTGCCCTGGCTGGCTACTACACGCGGCAACCATGTCTGACGTGCCCTGCAAGCACCTGTGCTATTCCAAGTCTGACTGCTTCCCGTCTCAGGGGAGGATGACATGATCCGTCGTCTCACAGGAAGTGCCATTCCTCCGGGTCCATGTCCTCCTCCTCCTCGTCCACAGCCAACCGGTTCTGGAGCGCAGGTGGCGGCAGAACGATCATGTAGGTGCCGATGAAGAACAATACCCGAATGTGTCCGACATCGGTGTAGACAGGGTAGTAGTACGTGCGCGTCCCCCCGAGCATGTCTGGAAGCTCTTGCTGAATGCAGCCCGCTGGTCTGAAGCAGAGGTCCCATCGTCGGATACCTGCGTCTGACGCACAGGCGAAGTCCGTGAGCAGAATCTGGCCTGATGTTGTCATTGACCACAATCCTTGCGATCCCCATGCTCTGCGATTTGTACGGGTGCGGCGAAAAAAGAAGATGCGGCCGTGGAGTGGTGATCGTGCATGCCTTCGCTCTGACTCCAGCAACAACCACTCGTCCCTCCTTCCAGAACCCTGGTGGTAAAACTTGAACAAGAAGACCTGATAAGGCGGCATGCTGACGCTTGCCCAGGAAAGGAGGCCGAGTCGACAGGCACACTTGGGGGTTTCTTGAGATGGTAGGGAGCGGCGGGCGAGCAGGTTTCGAGAAGGACACATTACAAGAATCCAGGGAACTGCTTGGAGCTGTTGGTGTCCAATGAGAGTCTCAGACAGTCAGATATTCGCATCCGAGGCTCTGACTGGAGGCAATCTCCGCTGTGGCCAGATTCAGCTCGTGCCTTGGCCCAAACTTCACTGAAAAAGCTACACCCCACACCGCGCTGCCCCCGCCCCTGAACTTTCTGACTGGAGGGCGAAGGGAAAACTGAAGGACGCAGGCCCTGTTGTCAAGGCTACCACCTGGGCTGGTGGCCACTCGGCGGAGGTTGCAGCCTGCGAGAAGCAACAGCTTACGCAGGTGAGGAAAGAGTTTGAAGCAAGCACTTCTGACGTGAAACTACTCGCTCAAAAGTCTAAGACATGCAAGGCAGGTATTCCATCATGAACATGCGCACTGCGCAAGCTGCACAGAAGCACCATATTCACACTCGCAGCACCTTGTCTTTCACCAAAAGGCCTCAGACATTGCTCTCGAACAAGTTGATTCAAGACCAAGGCATCTTAATTTGCAGGGCCCTCTGAGTTTGTCAGTGGTCAGTCAAGGTCTGACATGTGACATGGGCAGCCAGGCATGAAGGACATATGGTACGACACACGGCAGGTGCAAAAGTCTGCCAGAGGCTGCCACTCTCTGACGAGTGTCCACACTGCAGTCTCACACTTCAACGTTTCAAGTCGAGACCCCTGAAATCGCAGATCGCGAACGTGGGCTACAGTGCCGAGGGCATGGCTCTGCATTTGTGCAAGGTCTCAAGTGCCTCGAGCAGGTTTGTCAGAATTGAAAAATGCGACAATGACAAGACTGCAACACAAGCAAGGAAAGAGCAGGGATGACAACAACCTGAACATCTCAAGAGTAGTTTCAAGTTTCCTCGCTGTTGCTGCTGCGGTCTGACTGGAGTCCACGGGTGTATCCGAATCCAAGCTCAAAACCAGACTGTCCGACATAAAGTCACAGTCAGAAACTTCACAATCTTGAGTCTAACAACTCCTCGCATGATTCTGCAGCAAGTTGCAAGGTCCGACTGACTTATGCAGTCTAACGAGGATGTCCTGGGACAAAATTGAAATACTTCAGATATGTCAAGATCGGGAGGCAGACCTTCACAAGCATGGCAGCACGCATGCCGTTGCCCAGCATCTCGCGGAGCTCCGACAATGTGTGACGCGAGTAATCCACCTCAGCCGGGTTGAGGCCCAAGCCACGGACCATGTCTGCCTTGTCCATGAAGCCCTTCTTCTGATAGTTGTACCAAAGGCAACCGGTCGTCAACGTGGCCAGTCCTCCGTCTGACCTGTAGTGGCCCCGGTCCACTGTCTGACTCAAGTCTGCCAGAGGGTCTGACGTCCCAAGCCCGGCCGACTGCAGCATCATCTCATACACATCGACCTGTGCCCGGTGCCAAGCGCCCATTTCTGTGCCACTGCTGGCTCTCCTTTTCACCGGGGGCGGCTTCACATCTGACGGTATGCGTTTGGCTTTCACGGCCTTCCTTAGATGAGCCACTCGAAGGACGGACACGCAAAGACGGACTGAACGACGACAAGACCATGAAAAACGTCTCAGATTGAAATCACAGTCAGGTACTGTGCTCAAAGATGAGAGTGCCACAGGTTTGTAGTGTTCATCTGCCGAACAGGTCAGGGTGTGTCGCAAAGTGTTTCGTGAGGCTTCTTTGATGGAAGTGCTGTGACTGTGCAAACAGAGGTGCCAATGGATTAACACTCAAGAGACACATAATAAAAAAAGTCCTAATGACTGCTGCAGCGGGGGTACCACCGCAGCAAAGGCCCCCGCACGCCTCAGCGAAAAAACGATGGTACTCAGTGTCGTCCTCCATGACTGACCGTGCTTTCGACACTGGGCCCTTGTCAGACCACGAGAAAGCAGCAGCAGAATGGCGTGGCATTTGGCTGCACATCTCGCTGAGAATGCTCACCTCGCGAACCCAATCTGACGCAACGAAGTTGCTGTCTGACGAGCCCAACAGGACAACACGTGCACGACTCTCTGACTGAGGCGGCATCGACAACCATCGTGGCATGCGTGTAGTCCGGCAAGTCTGACTGGAGAGCTTCTTCGTACCACATCAAGGGGGTCTGACGTCCACCCTTTATGCGAGGCTGCAAGGCGCCCAAAACATTCTCCAGGACGTAGAACTTCGGCCGGTGTTTCTTCACGAACGCAAGACTTTCAACGAAAGTCTGACACTCTGGCTTGTTCAGGTCGATGGGGTCTGACGTGTAACGTTCTGAGTTGGACCTGCTGTTCAGCTTGCAGGAGAAACCGGACACAAATAAGTCCAGGTTCTGCATGCTCGGGTCTGACAACTTGCAGCAGCGGTTGTGCACCCAGCACGGCCCGGAACCTCTGACGCTGTACTTGATGTCCTTGAAGATGTGGTCAACGTCGAACGTCTCAGTCTGACGAAGCATGAACATCGCCGGCGCCTGCTTCATTTCTGACGCGCATACAGACGCAACCTCACCCTTCTTCAGCATCTTGGAGACAACATAGTGAGGCAGACCGGTGCCATCGCAGCCGCCTGCCATCATCAGAGGCGTCTGACGTCTCAGGCCACCGTCGGTCTGACTCTGCTCCAGTCCGGCGTCTGACAGAAGACTTGCCAGGAAGGATTGAAGATCGAACTCGTCGTCGGTCCAAACTGTCTGACGGCCCTCGTCACCTGTGTGGCGTGGTTTCTTGGCTGCCGGCCGTTTCATGGCTGCGGTGGTCTGACCTCGTTTTGGGGCCATGCTGCCTGGGAATTCTCTGACAGGCACTGTCACTGACTGGGCTTAGGGATGCCTTCTGAGCCTCTTATCTCTGCGGCTTGATGCAGTTCGATTCTGACTCAGTATTAGTAAATAAGACTGACGTCCAGTGATTTCACAACAAGCCACGGCCTGCAGAAAAATGTCCAGCTCCAAGTCTGCCAAAACAGGACTGGCCTCAAAGCACTGCATCAGCTAGCACACAAGGCATCAAATAACAAGTGAACCCAGGGGTCTGTTCACAAGCCAGCAAAACAAAACTCATGATCAGACAGGCCTGGCTGACAGGTCGAAAAACACGTTCACATCATCTGTCTTACTCAGTGTCACCACCAGTGGCAACGAAGTCTCACGCACTGCGAGGTTCCAGGCATGAAATCATATGACAGGATAGCACATCCAATCACTTCAGAACTCCAAGTCAGTTCCACTGCAGTCTGACAAGCACAGAAGCTGGAATGCATGAGCGAGTCAGGATCCACGACAAAAGACATGTATTGAATTCCCCTCTGATTCTGACAGATACGCTGTACACATGCTGAGCTGAGCACTTGTCTGACATTTCCGCCAGCAAGGTAGCGATGAGCATCACTGCAAGCAGTGGCCTCGGGAGTCATTATGATTATATAATCTGCACTCTCATTCCTAGCGACGCCCACACCACAAAGGAACATTTGTCAACACAGTGACGTGAATCTGCTGAGTCATGCACTTCCGCGGAAGACGGTCTGACCTGACATTCAAATTTCAAAAGAGCGAGACAGCAAGTCAGTCTCGGGCCTAAGGTCTGACTCACACACACACACAGACACATATCGTTCTGGAAGCAGAGTGTCAGGCCGATGGTCTCTCGCACTTCACCAATCCTGTCCTGTCAAGAGCCGATGCTGCATGACTCCGACCTGCCCTATGCCTTGGAAGAGCTCACAAGCGGCAAGCACTGGCACGAGATTGTTTCTGCGCTGCCTGCCTCCAAAATTATTTCTGACTGTCACGCACTTTGCGACGACAGTTGGGTGACGAGAATGACATTGTCACATGTCGTTCTCTTTGACCAAGGCCATGGTCTGACAGGCTAGGAGCAACATTGTCGCAGCTGTGGGAACTGAGGCCATGTTGGCCAGTGTGTGCGAACTGTATGACGGCTTGCACAGACTAAAGTCCAAACAGCAGCCATGCAGGCGGCTCGTCTCGCCCAACGTCATCTGTCTGACATCACGTTTTGTCTTAGTCAGCATTGTACTTCCAGGTGTCAGAAAAGAAGCCACAGTCTCCAGCCCGGAATCAATGACTCGCACCTTCTTACGAGCTGCATCCATGAACAGCGCACTCTGGTTGGCGGGCTTCATCCTGTCCAGATACGCGATCGCATCCTGCACTCGTTGCCGCTTCTGGCTGACAAGAACAGGCGGGTCGACTTCATGATTCTCGGCCATGACTGCGTCTGACGCTTCCTTCACGTTGCTACTCGATGCCGCCGAAGAAGGTCGGGCAGCACCTTGCACGGGGATGTTGCGAACTCAAGGCAGACCCCCTTACACGCAACCCCAGGAAGGTCATGAGCCACGTCCTGCCTGAGCGAGATTGTTCATGAAGCTCGTCCTTGTCATACTTCTACATTTTCTGCTCTGTCTTGCTGTTGCAACCACCATCAGAAATCCAATTTTCCAGGCAGCGGTGCAAAGAGGCATTGACGTCTTTCATTTTCTTGATGGTTTCGGAGCCCATGGACGGCTTCTCCTTGTCGCACCACCTTGGCACACAAAAGTGTATTCGCAACACGCCAATGGACTCTCCACTTCAAGCATGCTGAAACAAACATGGGCACATGTTAGCCCCGATGCACAAACTTAAGCTCATGACAATGCTGTGTCTGACAAGAGACATGCAGATGTAGCCTGTGGAGTCTGACTGCAGCAAAGCGGAGGTCGGAAACCAGTCCTGTAGCTTCAATGTCTTGCCCTCAAACACTGTGTTGGCATCCACGTCTGACGCAAAGGATAGCTCCATCGCTGTGCCTTTGTTACAAGGCACACTGAAGTGCACCACAACGACTGTGGCGGACTTTGTGGCTTCACAGAGGCTTGTCTGACGCAAGAATGCCCAGCTGTCCTTGTTCTTCCAGATTGCGTGTGCCAGCAGCATCGTCTGACATTTTTTGCCCGTGATGGTGTCTGACGAGTCTGACTGGTGCCCAAAACTGACCCACGGCATCGGAAACATGGTTTTCACACGAATGCGCAGAGCCTGATCCTCGTGACCGTGCTCTGACAGCACTCTGGGCAGGAAGTATGGCCGACTCAGGTCTGACAAGAGAGACAACGCGGCTGGCAGCTGATACAGGACGACCTCGTAATTTTCTTCGGATGTCCATGCCAGGAGGTCTGACACTGTTTTCACATCCATGGCTGCACACAGAATCGAACAACAAACACTTTCTTTCAGAGCCAAAGCCCGACTGACAACGACAATGCAAGGACTACAGTGACGAATCTCTTGAACCCCATGTACACTCTGCCACATCAAGGACCAAGGCAATGGCAAGGACACCATTTTGGCAGCCACAGTCTGTATCTGACGGCCGAGTCTCGAGTCATGATTGTTGTGCACTCTCTGCTGGCATTGCCGGGGTGCCGAACTTGAATGCAACATGTTTTAGCTGGCAGACTAGTCTTCTGCCCGAAATATTCTGAGGGTATTCAGGATCTTGGCCTTTGACCCTACACTATATAAGTGTTCGGGCCGTGACGGTTTTTCAATGGGGCTCAGTCCTTCGGTTTTCAGGAAGGCATACGCTTGAAGTATCTCTCCTTCTCGAGAAAGCTTATGATATTCCTGCAAACCGAAGGACCGAGCCCCGGGCCCCGGAAGATTTGTATTGTAGTCCGGAGGCCTCCGTAAGCTACCCCCTTTCCAGATATGATTCGCCTAAGTTAATGAGTCAGTAAGGCATACAGAAAACGCGCCAGGCAGATTTTCGGCGATCCTGGAAAGGTCGAGGCTTCAGGCCTGTCTTCAGCATCGACCTTTCCAGGGTCTCCAAAATCTTTTTTTGGAGGGCTCGTTTTCTTTATGTCCACTTTAAATAAAACTATTCTGATTCCATAGGCGAATCATATCTGGAAAGCGGGTAGTTTACAGAGGCCTCCGGACATAGCTATAATTTGGGGTTAAGTTATACAAGTCTTCCGGGGCCCGGGGATCAGTCCTTCGGTTTTCAGGAAGGCGGCCGAAGCTTTCTCGAGAAGGAGAGATGCTTGAAGCCTGAAGCCTTGACCTTTCCAGGCTCGGGGACTTTTTTTTATTCAGGGTACTCGAATGTTTGGCTGGGGGGAAATTATTTCGTAACATTCTGAATCATGGACATGGCCATTCGCATGTGTCCTCTATCTAGTTCACAGGCCCCCCCTTGAGTCAGAGAATCGCCGAGACGAGATGCTGTGTCTGACACGTTAAAATCGATGAATCTGACGGTCCGGAGCATGGAGTCTTTCACAGACCTCCTGGCCGTAGAGCAACGAGCACTGCAGGACGAAGGTGACGCCCCTTCGGAAATCCTAACATGATCGTATAGTCTATTTCCGCTACTTAGAAATCTATTTCTCACACCCCTGGCACCACTTCTGTCATGTCACCTCGTCATGGCATCACACTCACTCCTTGTCGCTGCTGGACGATGACGACTCGGAGTCTGACCCTTCAGCGCGTTTGCGCTTGCCACCAGTCGTCTGACAACCACCACTCGTCTGAGGACCAGGTGAGTCGGGCATCACCGACGCGTCCAGGCTCGCCGCAGCCCTCGCAGCATCCAGGCGTGCTTCTTCCGCATGGCCGCCTGTCAGACTTCTGACACGGCTGATCGCTCTGCGAGTGAAGCCATTGTTGACTCCTCTGACAATCTCCACCATAATCTGGAATGTCAGGGATTGGCGCAGTGTGTCTGATTGGCCCGGCAAGCAAAAGGCCACGTAGGGAACACACTGTCTGGCGGCTTGCAAGGCTGCCAAGCCCGGCCCGGGCGTGAAGTCGATGATCTTCCATGTGGCTGGCCGTCTGACGCCGTAGAGGTTGTACATCTCCGCCCAAAACATCTCTGACGGAGACCAGGCAAACCAAGTCATGGTTTGGTCTGACTTGACACTTTCCTCCGGCGTCGTCTCTGGCTCACCGTCCACAGTCTGACTGTCCGCCGCCTCACCCTCAGCCTTTGTGTCTGACTCGTCGCCTTCGTGGTCCTCATCCACCGCGCCGGCAGCCATGTCGTGCTCCTCCTCTCTGGCGGACACAGCGGTGGAAGTCCCCACTGCCTTCATCATCTGGCTCAGCGTGTCTCGTCTGACAGCAATGCTCGCCTCCGCACCACTTCGAATGCTGAGGCCTTGGAGGCTGCGCGTGTAGTTGCTCCCCGGCAAGTCAAGGAACTTCCGCGGCCGAGTCTCTGTCTGACACTTTGTCTTACTGAGGATGAACAAGTTCTCGACAGGATCCGGCAAAGCAATCCGGCCTGTCTTACACGCCTTGGAGGAGTTCTTTCTGACGTAGCCGTCCTTGGTGAACTCGAGATTGTTGTAGCAGAGTCTGACTGGCGTGTTCATGAGCTTCTTCGGGTACTCTGAGTCCCCTTTCACAGCCTGTCTGATCTTGGAGTCTGGCAGGTCGCAGCGGCTAAGACTTTAACTAACACAGACCAGTTAACACAGACCAGTTCAATTAAATTCAACTCGACCCAGGTCTTGGAACGCATGGTGTGCAATCCAGCTGCCATGCGGGTCATCTTGCTGAAGTTGCTGGGACGGCGGGCATCTTTGAAAAGGAAAATGTCGTTCTTCTGGAAGAGGCTCATCTCATGCCCACCCCCAATGTGTTTCTTCGGCAGCACCGCTTCCATAACGTTCTTGAAGTGGCTGTCGTCTAACTGCGGCAGCTGCCGCCAAGTCTTGCCAGCTAGGCAAGCACGGTCATACCGGCATGTGGAATCATAGATGTACACAGTTCTGTCTTCGGACGCAGCACCCGCAGCCGGCTTTGCGATGTCAGACACCATCTCGAACCATTTCGTGCTGTCTGGCTCCGACATGAAGGTCACAAAGGATGTCAGACCTCAGTCAGAAGTGCACACAACAGAGCTCGCTACCCCCTCTGCGAGAGACTGACAGAATCGGAAGCACAAGTCATCTTTGAGGCTGGCACGGGCGGAGGCATACGAGAACATGCTCTGCAGCGCTGACGGCGCAACATTGTTGAAGCTGTCCGTCGCCAACGGGGGCAGTACCAGCTTTGGGAACCATTCTGACAGCATCTGCATCACAACCTGGTTGTCTGCCACAAGATCCACATTTAGGTGGACTGTCTCTTCTTTTGGCACCGCCTCATGCACGATGTCAGCAGGCTTGGCCGTGTCTTCCCCCATACGCGCGGTCTCCTGCGAGTCTGACACGGCATCCTCCACCTTCGTGTCAGGTTTCGGCTCAGGCTTCGGAGGCTGCATCTCCTCTTCATGCAGCTGGAGAACCTTGTCGAGGTCGAAGTAATCCTGCAAAAGCATGACAAGGTCTTACATGTCCGGCTATCACAGCTCATGACCCCGGAATGCTCCTCCTGCAACAGCTCTGGCGCAGACAACAATGCTTCAGCCGACATGTTGACATCTCTCGCCAACGATTTGAGCAAGATGTGGTCGGCATTGCCGTCATACAGCATCTGCAAGCCTCGGGTCATACATATAATGATTCAATTCATATTCAAACTCAGACACAAGAAACATCATACACATACAGCACTAGACAAGGTAGTGAAAGAAGTGCAGCCAAACAACCCGTCGCAGCGGCCTGCACAGATGGTTTCGCAAACTTCTCCGAGAAGATTGGCGCCGTTGTCTTGCCAGGATCTGACAGCTCCATTTCCCTGCCACGAGGAAACATCCGATGAAAAGCTGTCCAATTGCCGAAAATCTCGTTGATCTCCTTGCATTGCAGCTTCCACGAGATGTAGTGGGAGATGCGACGAAGAGCCAAGAACGTCGGTACTGTCTTGCTTTTGGTGTCATCACGGATCGAGGCCGACAAGGTGTTTCTCAAGAGCCTGATATGGATGCCAGAGACAACGAACTCTAACAGCTTGTTCTGCAATGCCAAGTTCTTGGGCACGGATGTCTTGCCACAGATAGCATCCAAAGCCGTCCACTTGGCCAGAGGGTGTTGCTTGCTGAAAGCAAACTCCAAGCCGTCCAGCTGGTTTCTGCACTCAGGTGTAAGTCGTCTGACGATTTTCAGATGACATTCAACAGTCTTGGCACTGATCGACTCCTCGGCAAAATTCACCTTGCTGAACCACTGTGCCACGTCTGCTGCTGTGGAGGGCTTGTTCTGTCTCTTCAGCGACTCCTGCACTTCGTACGTCTGCAGACACTCCTTGTAGCCGAAGATCTGGCTGTTCAATGCATCTGCCTTCATGTCCTCCTCCAGCTGTCGTTTGGTCCTGGGTAGTCTGAGACAACACAATGTCTGTCACCGACAGCCTACGACGAATGACAAGAAGAACGATGCAAGAGGTTCATGGCAAGCACGGGCTTCAATTGGGTTACAGCACCTTGCCAGCCGAGAGTCTGACCAAACTCATCATCAGACACCAGCAGCTTGAAGGTGACGGCAACACTGAGACTGGCCGTCTGGAAAGCCTTGATCGTCTCGTCTTTCTTGCCCCTGCGTGCCTGTGCGAAGGCATACTGCCATGCCATGCGAAACAGACTCTTGTCTGCCACTTCCCAATCACCAATTTCTGGCGGTTCTGACTTCGAGGTAGCACGGATCCTGAACTGACAGTGCACAGCCAGACACCCAACCTAGAAACAGCAGGCATAATAAAGAATTCAAACGAGAATCGTCGTAGCGTGCTTTGCCTCGCAAATCTTGCTGGGGTTCACGCCATCTGACGTGCAGAAATGATGCCGATACATTCTGAAAACGCTTCCCAGATTGGGCCAGAGACCGTCTGACTCGAATGCCTGGAATGCGAGTTTGAAATTGGAACGAGGGCCGTAAGCAGTCTGACGTGCACATTAATGTTCATTCTGACAGCTATCCCAAACCATCCGTCTGACTCAGGCCGGGGCATCCAAGCCCAGCCAATGGAGCGGCACCGTGCACGTGTAGTGGGCTTTGTTTGCCATGTCTGACTGGTACCTCTTAGTGTCAAACGCATCAATGCCACCGAAGGGCTCGGGTTGAAGGTCTGACGTTTCCATGCTCTCCAAGTAGTCTAACAGCGGGGACAAGACTTCCTTGGCGACGAGCTTCTGGTTAGTGCTGCCAACCCCTGCACTGTCTGACATCATCTTGGCCACATTGGCAGCCGCACGGTCTGACAAAGATTGCCGTGCCTTTGCTGGAGCGGCGGCGGCGTCTGACGGAGCACTGGCATTCATGGACACATCGGGGCGCCCTTGCGCTGCCTTCGGGGCATTGGCAGCTGGCGGCGACGTCTTACCCTTTGCCCTCACTGCAGTAGCATTCGTCTTCGGTGTGGCCGGTTTTCGCGGTGGCATCTTGCAGCTGAAGCGGCTCAGCTGTTGTTATCGCCCTGCTGCCCCCGAACTTTGCTTGAGCAAACTGGTCTGACAAGAAAAGCACAATGCTTGCAAAAGAGCCGGCATTCAAGAGCTCACACATGTGGGCAGTCTCCAACCCGGCAGCATGAGCAGTCTGACTGTTTCATGATGTCACACAGCAGTGGCACACACACACACAAAAGGTTCGGTCCTGAAAGTCCAATGCCACATTGCCGGTCTGTCGTCACGCCAAAGTCTGTGGCCTGCAAGTGACATACATCTCAACGGGCAACAGACAAAGTATACAGGCAACATGCTCAAACCCAAGCTGTGGGACGCACTTTGGGCCTCCGGCTTCAGCAGGCCCAAAGTGCGTCCACGGCGCGCCGTGGACGCACTTTGGGGTCCATGAGGGGCCTGGCGGACGCGGCGCGCCGTGGACGCACTTTGGATTTTGGGAGGTTTTGGGCTTCATGAGGCCTAAAGTGCGTCCACGGCGTGCCGTGGACGCACTTTGGGCCTCCTCAAGCCGGAGGCCCAAAGTGCGTCCCGCGGGTTGTCGTGTATCAATGCACAAGACTGGCTTTGGTGCGCTCGTGCCGCTTTTTTGGTTTCCCCGCGTTTGCCCCTGTCATATTTAGACACATCATGAGAGCTGAGCCCAGCCTCACATGGCTCAGGCTTGAATAAAACAAAGCCCACGCAGTGATCATGTGCGATCACTTGCAAAGTCTGGCTGCAAAGCATGGCTGTTGCAGCAGTCTGACTGTCAGCAGGTCACATCAATGCTAGCTGCATGTCAAGTGGAAGCAGTGTCTCACGCTCGGCGTCGATCTTCTGACGAAACACATTTGAACGGTGAAACACACTGTCCAGGAACAACTCGGCTCCTTGCTGCAGAGTCCGACACGCGTCAGGCTGCATGCGAAAACCTGGTTTCATTTCCTGGAGGATCTCGCGCATCACTTTCATCATCACGGTCTTTGGCAACAAGAAACGCTTGGTCCTGATGAGTCTGTCATCCAAGAGCTGTCTGACACTCCGCCCCTTGATTGCTGCAACCTTCTTTCTGTCAGCATTCTGGGCGGCGCCTGTCGGGGTCAAATCCTCCAGGTCCAGGTCCACCTTCACAGCACGCTGGGCATTCTCGAGCTTCACGATATTCGTCGTCTGACTCCGGGCTGCAGTGGAGCTTTTTGTCGTCCCTTTTTCTTGTTTCACACGAACCTTCGGACTCTTGGGTTCCAGGCGCTGAATCACCCGCATAGCTGGCAGTCTAACTATAGTAATGAGGAGCAGGCTAGCCTGGTTTGAGCCTAAGTCCTAGACATATTCAATCAATGACCCAGCAGCCGAACATGTCAGGCTCTGCAGGCTGAAGCACCCTTGCCTTGCAGTTGCTGCGCAGCACGGAACGGCAAAACCAGAGACCTCGGCCAGAAAGAGATGACATTCAGTTAAATTTGTAAATTAACAGCAGGTCCTGCAGAGATTGCCAGACATCGCAAGCGCGCTGAGGCCAACTTTTTTCGGCCAGGAACAAGGGAAGCCCTTCAGCCCTTGTGACTCGGACAGACACTGGTCTCTATAAAATTATGTACATTCAGACACCACTGCGGTTGGTGTCTGACGTGCTCCATTTCCCAGGTCGCTCCACCTCAGGTGTAGTCAGTGATGGCATCATGGCAGAAGACTGGCTCGAAGAAAAAGAGAAGACAGATTGAAGAGACGGTCTGGCCAAGCTGCACTGTGATCATTTCGAACATGTACTCCACATTGATTGGTTTGCCTGCTTTCTTGTTATCCCGCGATTTGTCCTTCTCCTTCGACTTCTTCGCTTTCTTGTCTGACATGAGGACCCAGGATCTCTTCTTTTGCCTCGGATGCACCACAAGGCCCATTGGGCAAGCACTGACACGACTGACACGACTGTCTGACATGTAATATTAAATTGAAGATCCAAGTAGCAGCTTCTTACGGCACTCGCGGATCACCCACGCGCAGTTCGCTGATGCAACCATATTGGCTGCAGCGACCACGTCTGACACCAGTGACCCGAACTTCTCTGACTCATGGCAAACCATTTCGCGTGGTATAGCCAAGGCACGAGCAAGCCGAAGCACAGGTTGCAGTGTCTGACGTGATCGCTTGCATGCCTCTAACCACTCAATGCCAGCGACCCAGCCACCCAAGAGCCGGGAAGTAAGGAGATATGCTGTCTGACATTCTGTCTGACGTTCGGTGGCATTGAGGCCATCCTGTGCGGCAATGGCAGATTCGTCACCAGGTGTGAACCAGACAATGTCTTTGAAGTGCAAGAGTTCGCGAAAATATTCCCTGTCTGACTTCCACACAGAGACCTTCACACCCAATCGCTGCAGAACCTGCTCCTCGTCTGACGACAAGGTAACGGCAGGTGGAAGCACACAACACGACGATCTGGACAGGCTTGCCCCCGTTCTCTCTGACCACTGCAAGTCACGACGCGAGAGATCTGCCATTTTTCTGGCATCCATCATACTCTGACCAAGCTTCAACGTCTCCTGAGCATGTTTGTCGGACTGGCCGTCGGTCATGACTTCCAGTGCCTTCCGCTTCTTTCCCTGCAGCACAGCAGTGTCATTAAAAACCATACTGTGACTCACAATGACACAGTCACTAGCTGACACATCGTCCGAGCCTGCAGGTCGGCTAGGGTGTTGCAGAGTTTGTTGAACTTCGCATTCTTCTTCTCCTCACATGAAGCCGCCGTGATTGCCTCCAAGCCGGCATCCTCCAATGTTTGATCCCCTTCTGACGTGGCCTGCTGCTTGATCAATTTCTGGATCTCTTCACGTCTTACACGCAGGAATCCTTGAACGCCTTTGGCTGCTGGCTCTTTCTTTGAGTGGACTTTCCGGGGAAGGTGAGGCGTCTTGCGTTGGTTCTTCGCATTGCCATACAGCTTTCGATACTGAGCCTGGCAGCGAAGGACCATGTCTGACACCGTATAGACACACATCCCATTGACCTGTCTGACAGGGGCGAGCTGTTCCGGGGAAGGACCGTCTAACAACACCTTCAGAAGGTCACGCAAGTGCTCGGCTTTGATGCGGCTTTTCAGCTGAAACAGCTGCATATAGCTGAAATCTTGCTCCACCTCTGACGAACTCACCCAACAGGAAAGCATGAAAGGAACCTCGGCGGCACTCCAGTTCGCAACTCAGAAGCTTCAAGTCTGACATCAGTCCAATGGCCGGCAAGCAACTATGTCTGACAAAGCCGGCAGCTTCTTGGGGCCCCAGTGTCTGAGGACCTCTCCCCAGTAGATCTCGGGGTCGGTGGACCCACGCCTGCAGGAAGAGCCAGTGACTGACTAAAACTGGAAATTAATTAAGCAAACACTCTCAGGCACTGGCCTGACACATGCCAAGGCAGTAGGTCTGGCAACCAGCATCTCTTTGACCAGCAGGCGCACCTGTTCAGCATTCATGCGTAATATTGAACTCGTTGTGACTACAATCACCGTGATCATCCCACCTCGACTTTGGCAATTTTGGCCAACGGGGCGAGAACTTCTGACCTGATCAATGAATCGCGACTGTAGCCTAGCGGCATCCTCTCGACAGGACTACAAGAACACAGTTCAATCATAGTAATAAAATTTAACAGCTTTTGTCAGTAAAAAATAAAAGGCCAGGTGCAGGGCTTCGTCATCTCGAGAAGCCAACCAGTGACTAACATCGAACGGTTCGAAAGCTTCGCCCAGACCGGCCTCCTGCTCTGACGCAACTCCTTTCAAGAACGCATTCGAGAGGTTTGCAATGGAACCCAGGCCATCGGCAATCAGCGTCCGCAGATCCAAGCCATGACCTGGGCTGTGAACGAAGTTCTGAATGACATTGATAATATTTTAATTTTAATATAATATTATAGTTATTAATAAGCAGTGGACAGAGATTTCTAGGCAGGCCGCTATACAGCCGATACAGCAGGCGGCCTCCATGAACCACAGAGAAAGTGGTCTGACTTCCTTAAATTAAATTTATGCATCATTGCCATTTGCTCACAGACTCAGAGCGGCGGCATTCAGTCTCAGTTGCACGGCAAAAGACAACTGCCCTGGCTGAGTTGCAGCTTAGTGTCCGAACTTCAAGGCTTTGGCCGCTATCTGACAATAACCGTGGGTGAAATTGGGATCCAGAACCAAGGGCTTGTGCTTTTTGCCATCGATTTCAAAGTGAAAAAGCCTTGCGAGATTCTCTGACAGCATCCGTGCCCTGCGAGCTGCAAAGACAATGCGGCAAAATGCTGATTTTGTCGTCTGGCGGGGTCCACTGCCACGAGTGCCACCTTGATTGTCGAAGACATGAATGTGCTCTCTGACAGCGGACATGAACTCCACCAGCAAGCAGAGTGAGATGATGTTGGGCCACGTAAACACCTGCAGGGGCAATGCTCGCAAATTCAACGTGGCTGTATTATTAATATATTAAAAGTTATATTGACTCAGTCAGACTGTCTGACAGAGCTGCCCCACCTGCAGCAAGGCAAGCGACCATGCACGATTCTCTTCTTCGAGACAAACCTTGCAGAGAAAACGCAGCATCTCGTCTAACCTGAGCACGATCAATCTCAGAGCCTCCAGTGTCGAGTCCCACCTCTGACTCGCAAAAGTACACTGCATGGCAGAGATAGGAGAAAGCTCTGCCACCACACTGGGCTCGAGTCGGACCTCTTGCTTGAAAAGAGCGGCCAGTTTGGGGCTGTTCTTCAGCGCACGGGCGAGAGACCCCCTGTCGTCCGTGCCCGCAAAACGGAGGACCAATTTGTCCACGAGAAAAGCCATCTTGTCATCACATCTGACAGTCGCCTCTAATGTACCCTGAGCGCTGTGGCTGAAGCAGCGGATGGAGGCATCGAGGCGGGGCAGGATGTCGGCCACCTCAGTCAATGAGTCAGACGACATTGACCCGGGTCAAAAGCTTCAATTATTATCTAAAAAAAACTAATAGGCAAGATGCCTTGGCAATTCGAGGCATCAATTGCTCGGCTGGCTCGCCATCAGCACAAAAAACCTGACTTCGCTGTCCGACAAAACACCACTGCAATCGCTGGTAAGCGAGCCAGCCAGCGAAAGAGAGAGAGAGAGAGAGAGAGAGAGAGAGAGAGAGAGAGAGAGAGAGAGAGAGAGAGAGAGAGAGAGAGAGAGAGAGAGAGAGAGAGAGAGAGAGAGAGAGAGAGAGAGAGAGAGAGAGAGAGAGAGAGAGAGACAGAGAGAGACGGACAGACAGAGACTGTGAGAGAGGCAACTCAATGACAATGAGACTGAGACTGACAGATTCAGTGTCCGACAAGCAACACGAATGGTCTGACGCAGCCTCTCTCGGATCTCCTCGTCTCTGTTGGAAAAGAAGGACATGGTCTCGCCTGCCTTCTCGGCCTTCCAGACAGCAGCCTGGCAGGGCACACGGAGTAATGACATAACAGTATGGGCTTGTCAGTCAGCACTTGTCACACCTTCCTCCCCTCGATCGGGCGCAAGTCCACCATGCGGCGGACCACCGTCATGTCTGACAGGCACAACTTGAACTTCACCATGTTGTACTCACCACGAACATCCTCAGAGACCACACTTCTGCTGCTGCATGTGTGCAATCGCACACCAAGCCACAAAAATGCTGAGGTTGGGAGTGAAAGGCTTAATAATAAGGTCTTACCGTCACCGAAACGCGACTTAACTTCCCATAACTCTGAAGTAAAGCAGCTAAGCTTTGCAACGATGGTGTGTAGTCGGGTTGGACGCAGCAACAGCTGGAGCACACAAGCGTTTTTGGGGCCCTCGACTGTTGGAATGGTAGCTGACCCCATCCACCCGCAACACAAACACGTTAAATAATGCATTTGAAATTCCGGCAAGGGTGACTCCGACAGGTGAGACCGTGACCCCTCCTACCCCCACAGAGCCCACCACAGACAGCAACGGAGACCACCACGAGCGGTTTGAGCAGCTAATAGTGCGTTTGGGACATCCCGGGAAGGGGTGCCCGAGAGGTCTGACTGTGACCCATCCAACCCACAACGGAGCCCACCATTGACACTTTCAGCGTCATTAAGTTGGGTTTATTAGTAGGGAGGCGACCCATCCAACCCCACGAACGGAGCCCGCCACAGACGCTTTCAGCAGCCACAAGTGCTTTTGGGACAGGTCTGAACACAGAACCCATCCACCCCCGAACGGACCACGCCGGAGACGCTTTCAGCCGGCAAAAATGCGTTTGGAGATAGCCCGCAAGCGGGGTGTCCGAGAGGACCCCTCCAACCCCCTAACAAAGTCCGCCACAGACGCTTTCGGCAGCTAAAAGCGCGTTTGGGCAGCACGGCTGGCGAAGTGTCCGAGTGGTCTGAACACAACCCATCCACACCCCAACGGAGCACACCAGAGACGCTTTAAACAGCTAAAAGTGCGTTTGGAGATCCCAGAAGCGGGGTGGCAGACAGGTCCAACCGTGACCCCTCCAAACCCCCAACAGAGCCCGCCACAGACGCTTTCAGCAGCTCAAAGCGCGTCTGGGCGGGCCGGCTGAAGGGGTGTCCAAGAGGTCTGAACACAACCCGTCCAACCCCCAACTGCCCCCAACAGAGCACACCAGAGACGCTATTAACAGCTAAAAGTGCGTTTGGATATCCCGGAAGCAGGGTGTCCGACGGGTCGAACCGTGACCCCTCCAACCCCCGACAGAGCCCGCCACAGACGCTTTCAGCAGCTGAAGGCGCGTCTGGGCAGCTCGGATGGTGGGGTGTCCGACAGGTCTGAACACGACCCATCCAACCCCGAACGAACCACGCCAGAGACGCTTTCAGCAGCTTAAAGTGCGTTTGGAGATCCCGGAAGCGGGGCCTGAACGACAGCCCCCAACACAGCCCGCCGCAGACGTTTCAGCAGCTAAACCCTGAGTCTCCAGAATACGTGAATTTAGGTGTCGTCGAATTTAGGTAAAAACCATGGAATTAGGTAAATATTTACTTATTTATTTACTTAATTTTTCGTGTAAGTAAATTTACTTTACACCTAAAACACAATTAGGTGCAAAGTAATTATAAATTAGGTTCAAACTAATTATAAATTAGGTTCAGAGTAAATAAAAATTTTGGAGTACAGGTGAATATGTCTAGCGTTCCAAAAGTATTTTCGACAGAATTTTGTTTATGCTTTTGGGACACAACCGAAGAAGGATATTCCAAAGAACGTGACCGAGATAAGGTTTTGTGGGACAGTTCGCAAGCGACTTTTTACTTGTGACAGTCTGCAGCACGTGGCTTTTTTATACTTGTGAGACAGCCTGCAGCATTTTTTTTGGCTTGTGACACACAGTCTGCAGCATGTGGCTTTTACTTGTGAGGCAGCCCTTTTCCTATAGACCAGCTTTTCTGAAACAACCGAGCTTTACTTGTGAGACAGTTTGCACAGAAAAGGTTGTGTTTACTTGTGGCTTTACTTGTGAGAGACAGCCCCTCCCAGACCAGCTTTTCTGAAACAACCGAGCTTTTTACTTGTGAGACAATTTGCACAGAAGGTTATGTTTACTTGTGAAAGCATCTGCGAGCGTTTTGTACTCCATGCTTGTGGACAAGAAGCTTTTGTGATCAAGGTGTGGTGTGTGGAGACTGACAGAAAGCTGTTTCCTTGTTTTTGCTTCGCAAAGATGGCAGGCCTAGCGAAGGCCATGGCAGCCATTCAACAGATGGAAGCAAAAGCCACCTCGAACAAGAAGAACTTCCGGCTCATAGCCGACCCGTGCATCAGTGTCGAATCCTTGAAGCGGCCACTCCGTAACTATCTAGAGTTTCACAAGAGCAGCGACATGTGGTCGCTGGTGTGTCCGCCACCTGGCGGACCCCTCACCTTTACGTGGCACACGCCACCGAACGGAAGTTGGCTTTCGAAGTGCATTGGACTGCTGTACGACCTCCTAGAAGTAGCTCCAAATTCGAAGCTTCAATCTGTGAAGCTGCTTCGGGCCTTGAAGTCTCTTGTCGAGGACAAGACCATGAGCATCTGTACTCGCAAGATGACAGAGTCTGATGTCTTGGACCGGATAGACCTCAGCATTCGGCTGCTCCTCTCGCACCTCCGGCAGCTCAAGCAGAACCTCTCCTTGAAGCTAAAAGTTCTTCGTATGTGCACAGACGACGAGAAGATGAAGCTTGTTGTTTAGAGCATAGTCTCGTTTCATATGTGGTTGGTTGTCTTCTTCGTTGTTTTTTTACTGCTTATACATGAGAGAGAAACACAGAGAGAGCAAACCTGTTTTTGCAGGAAGATCAATCTCACGTTGGACAAGCTGGAGCTGCCGATGGAGCTTCTTGTTGGTGATGCGAAGCCCTTGTTGGAAGAAGGGGAAGCGGATGGTGAAGAGGAAAACGCAAGCCCAGTCAGGCCATGCACGACCATGGTGGTGTATGAGCCGCAGCCCGCCTTCGTCAGCCCAGTCACCTCTGCTCCTCCGCCCACCTCCCAGCCCACCTCCCAGCCCACCTCCCAGCCCATCGCCAAGCCCATCTCCACACCCAGCTCGTCGGCGAGAGTTCCATGGACTCTTCCCCAGTTGCCACAGATTTTCGCCAAGAGCAACCAGGGCACTGGCAGGCAGGATCACAAAAAAACTTCCGAGGACGAGTGTGTGGCAAAAGGCAAGGCCAAAGCAAAGGTCTTGAAACCCAAGGCCTGCAGTCCCAAGGCCAAGGCCGGCAGTTCCAAGTCCTGCAAGTCCAAGGCCAAAGCCAAGACTTGCAAGCCGAAGGCCAAAAGCTCCCAGCCCGACATCGCGAAGCCTGGAGACTCCAAGACCCAAACCCAGGCCTCCAAGCCCGAAGCCTCGAAGACCTCCAAGAACGAGCTGGACATCCTTGCAGCAGCCATGAATTTGGTGCCCGACGTTGCCTTGGCGAAGAAGAAGGCGAAGAACGAGAAGAAGCAGCCGAAGATCGAAAAGAAGACCGACAAGAAAGATGCAGTGACCAAGAAGAATGTCCCAAAAAAAGAAGAGCCCAAGAAGCCCAAGGCTGAGATGACAGATGCGAAGATGCCGAAGGCCAAGAAGTTGAAGAAGGAAGGCCCCGAGGTCGCAGCGAGCGATGTGCCTTTCCCCAAGCTTCCCGTGAATTATGTGTTCGAAGCTACCACGTATGGCGAGTGCAAAGTCGAGTTTTACAAGCAGAAGAGTTACATCCGGAACTACGATGCAATGGGCAAGAAGAGCAGCATCATCAGCAGCTGCCACCCCAAGCACCACACCATTTGTGAGCAGCTTGTGCCACATGTAAAGGAAGGGAAATCCTTGCTGGAGCTTTACCAGTGTAGGATCGACATTGTTTCGAAGTTGAATGCCTGAGAGAATCTGGCATGGATCTTTAGATAGCTTCGCCGTTCACGAAGCCAATCCTGCTGTTTTCGATCGACGTATCGATTTCAGTCTCGATGTGTGTGTGCACACAATGGGTCTCAGTGGGGTAGATATACAGACACACACGGAAGATGTGCCGAGAAAGCGAAGATGTCGCATTGCGCCCAGAATTACTTTTGAAGACAAAACCTTAAACTAAACCCTATAAACCCTAAACCCTAAAACCTAAAGCCTAAACGCTAAACCCTAAACCCTAAACCCTAAACCCTAAACCCTAAACCCTAAACCCTAAACCTTAAACCCTATACCCTATACCCTATACCCTATATAAACCCTAAACCCTAGCATAGCCTCTTAAGCCCGAAACATTTTAGAGCCTCCTCTGTGTACCTTATATATAAGCTCTACATAATCCCTCAGCTGTTTTTAGCACTTGTGCACAACCTCTGAAACCCGAAACCCCCAGAACCTCTCCTATACACCCCATAAGCCCTACATAATCCCTCAGCTGCTTTCGCACATCTTCTTTTTACTTGTGTGCATGTCATTCTGAAACCCCAACCTTAGAAGCCCTATATGTGATC